CGTTGGTGACTCTATTGCGAGCTAGGTCCTGCATTTTTCTCAATAACTGCGATGGTTTCTGGTCTCCTAACTCCATTTCGCCTATTAGTTTCTTTACTTGTCGTTCTTCCGATTCCTGGTAAATCAATATTAATTTTTGTTTCAAATTTTCATACTTATTTTTTTCTGGCGGATTTAATAAAATTTCTGTGATCTGCTCTATAACTTCTTGGCCTAATTTCGATATAACGACTTGATATTTCGCTTCATCAGACATCTTCTGCGGTTGTAGTACTGCTTCTACCTGAATAAACCAGGTTTTCGGCGACTTCTTCCAAAACTCAGGTATTCTTGCCGTGACGGAGATAGTGGATAAATGATACTCTTCGGTGGCTATTTTTCTTTCTTCGGTAGGCATGTTTAACGTAATCACGACTCGTATAAGTACCGATATTAAAAAACAACACTACAGCACAAGTGAGTTGCCCGTTCTAAACAGTCTCAATCTGTACACAATATCACAAAAGTTCTTTAAAATTACCAAATCACAATCACGTCGGGGTCACCACTTTTGTAACTGGTCGTTACTTTGTTCCTTTATTACTGGGGTTGCGTATGTGTACAGAGAGAAATAATAAGTCTATGAACAACTTATTTAAATTTATTAATCACGACTGTATACAATATATATGGGTGTGCTGTAGTACGGTATACAAGACGACCACGGGACAACTGTGGTTCACAGCGCACTACAGTACCGATAACTCAAAACGTTGCGTCAGCATTCCCGCAACAAGTTCGTTGGCATACTTCTGAGTATTATTTAACCCTTATCATTTAGTAACTAGGTCATCCCGTGAACATTTGGTCCTTCGAGCCGGATGACATGACCGCCCCTACCTCCGAATCCCGGACGGGCGGAACATTATCCTCCCCGTGCTCCCCGTCGTCTCCGGCCAAGGAGGCCATCGCCGGGGGAGTGTGTTCCGCTCGTTGTGGGAAAAGGCCCTTAACCACTTCTCGCAGGAGGCCCGACGCGCGGAGCTTTTGTCGCTCTCTACGGCCTCGCCCCTTGCGTCCGTCCTGGGGGAACCCCACGCAGTGGACTTTGCGTTGAAGTCCCCCAGCACAAGGACGTGCCCAGATGCTAGTCGCCGTATCGAGGTCTCCAAGCTGGTTAGGAAAACCTCGAAGTCGTTCAAACTCCGGTTGGGGGAGAAATAAACACCATATATGGTGATCCCCCCCCACTCGACGGCAACATATCCAGTGCCCTTGTCTCTTAGCGACAAGGGCGGGGAATGAGCCGTCGTGGAACCGACGACTGCCACGGAGCCGTCCCAGTCACCCATCCAGTTTGGATGGGGAGGGACAGAATAGGGCTCCGCGGCTACGGCAACACCTATCGACCACTGTGCCACGGTTTGCAGGAAGAGATCCTGCGCCGCGGCACAGTGGTTCAGGTTCGTCTGGACCAGGAGGTTGGAGACTTGATCCATTACTGGATCGTCTCTACAACCTCCTCCATGGGCGACGACGTCGACGCAATATTGACGTCGGGGGTAGCCTGGGTCGACTGGCTAGCCCCTGACGTCTGCCGAGAACTGCGGGGAGGCTTGAAGCCTCTCTGCCCCATCTGGTGATTGGCGGGCTTATTGCCCGCCGCACACGCTGGACAGTGAGGGGCGGCAGAGCATTCTGCCGCCTTATGCCCCGGTTGACCGCAGCGGAAACACAGTCCGCCGCAGTCGAAACAGCTATCACACTTGACGCGCGTGTGTCCCGTGGCCAGGCATTTAAAACACCTCATCGGTCTCGCCGCCAGGACTGTGATCCTGGCGCTCACGAAACCGATGAGCAGCCTGCCGGCGTTGGCCAATACTTACTTACGCTACGGGACCGCTGACCCACACGGCGCCAAGCCGACCGGGGCGGATGGTGCCGACCCTGACGTTGTCCGCGCTGCACCCTGTCTTCTCCCGGATTACAGCGCGGACATCTTCGGCCGTCACTGAGTCGTCCAGGCCCGAGATGCGCAGTTCCGCGCACTTGGTAGGCCTGGCGACCCAGACACCATCTGTGGCAGCGAATATTCCCCGCAGCCTCTCAGCAAAGGAGTCCGCCGTCTTTGCGCCTTCAGCCCCAGGGAACTCGAGGACTCGAGCTCCCGTCTGGGCGAGGCGCATCCTGACCCCCACCGTCCCAAACTCGTTGGCGAGGCTGTCCCGGGCCTTTTTGAAGACGGCCGCGTAGGACAGCCCGCCGTCAGCCGCCTCCGGGGACACGGTCACCACTACAGCAGCGGTTTTGGGCGGCTGCAGCTTCCGCGGCCTCTTTGTGGAGGCCGTTGCCACCGGTGGCGAAGGCTGGGCTTTGGCTGCTTTTTGGGCAGCCCTTTTGGCCCGCCTTCGGGACTTCTTGGAGCCCCTCGCCTCCTGCCAACCCTCGTTGGAGGGGGCAGGTGCGGAGGGGCCCGGCAGGGGTGTTGGAGTGGGGAGCGGAGGGAATGCCACTCCGCTCCTCGGCGCTGTTTTAGGCCCCGTCTTGGCCGGCGCCTTTGGATGTGCCTTGGCCGGTGCCTGGGCCGGTGCCTTGGCCCCCCTCCTCGGCTTTTGGGGAGCCGATGGAGTAGGGGCAGACGCCGCCGCCGCGTAAGAAACGCGGCCTCCCACCACGGGGAGCGCGGTCGGAGCGGCGGCCTTAGGCGGGGGCCTTAGCGGGGGGCGCACAATCGGCGCAGGGGGCAGTCTCGCCTCCAGGCCAGCCAGGCGTCCGTCCAGCATATTCCCAACTGCGATGAGGATTTCACGCAGTTGGGAGTCAAATGCCCCTGAGTTGGTAGTAGGGGCAGGCTGGGACGCGGACGGGGCTTCCCGCTCGGGGAGGTTCGCCTGGAAGCGGGCGAACTGAGCGCTCAGCTCGTTCACCCGCTCCGTCAGCCTCTCGTTGGCCACCTGTAGGCGCGAGACGTCGCCCACTAGGCCCTCCACGACCTCCGACAAAGCGGAGGAGGAGTCCTTAAGGGCCCTCACAAACGAGCCCTTAAGGTTCACGGACTTGGTGGCCACCTTGTGGATGACGGCCACCGCCGCTTTCGCCCTCTCCTGCACGGACACGGGAGCCTGGGGGGCATTTCCCCCCACCGGCTCCCGAACCTTGAGCAGGAGATCCGCGATCTCCTCCTCCGCTACGGCCTCGCCGTCCACTCGTACGTTCCTGTACGACTCCGCGTTTGAGAACGCGGAGCCTGACGGGGTCGAGACCGAGGCCGGTTCACGTGCCCTCCCTCGGCGGCTGCTTGCCACCTTTGGTGGCATCATCTCCTGGGACGTATCCGTTTCCTCGTCCCTGGAGCGTCCACGTTTCCGGCTGTCGCTTCACTCCGCCTCCATGGCCTCCGCGCCATCCGACGAAACGGCGGATCCGGAACGCAGCCGATCTGATGCTCTTCGGCTCCCAGAGACCAGCGTCAGACTGACTTCTGGGAGCCCCATCGAGCCCGACGCCACCTCACCCTCAGTGGACGACCCATCCACTCCACTGTTCCTCTTCTCCTTCCTCGTTGCCGTGTCCGTTTGACTTGCCTTTTTTGTTTTGGTTGGTTTTCCGATCGTTTTTCTTAAGTTTTGGTTATCATTATCCATAATAAATCCCACGAGTGGGGGAGAACTAAAGGTCCACCCGGGCAGAGATCCCCCATTACCCGGGCAAGCGTAAGTTTTTAAATTTGAATTTTTTAGAGAGGTTATCTTCCTCGCGCTCCGGGCGGTTAAGCCAAGACCCTCGCCCCCGATCAGAGCCGCGAGACTTAACCACATCGCTCTTCTCGGGATTACGATATGCCGACGGTTGACAGGGAGACTACGTCCCCCTGCCTGCTCGGTGGTAGTGTCAGTACACGCCGAGCCCGTCCTCCTTTCTCCACCGCTGTCAGCGGAGAAACTGTGGCCCCTACAGGGCCCCGCCATCCGGTTTTTTACCGAGGTTTCCTCCTCCATGCTCCGAAGAGCGAAGAGCCAGCAGGGCAACCGGCAGACACGCCCACCCTGCTGGACCAGGCCTTGCCCGAGAGCCGATGAACGGCTACCTCTTCTGCTAGAATATTAGCCGCTGGCGATAATCCTCTCCTCCAAGAGGACAAGGAGGAAACAGCACCATCGCCAGCGTTTCCAGGGTGCACCACGGGGAGGTTTTCTAGCTAGCACCCCCGGCAACCCCAACCTCTGGCCCAACCCCACTCCTGCCCATATCGTTTAACCAAATACGATGCTGGGTCAGGCAACGGACCTGTGAAGCACACAACCGGAGGTGGAAAAACTCACCCGTCTGCAGACAGTCCAAACTGGTGCTGAATCAAGTCACTCCACGACTCACCTGCAGACTGATCAGTCTTAGCAGACCGGAAATCAGAATGGTTGTCGGAACTATTACAGGACATCTAGCCCTGAACCGACAACTATTCATAATCAATGCGACGGACAGTCCCCTGTGCAGGGGATGTCTGGAAGCTGAAGAAACGGCCGTCCACGTAGTCCTTGAATGCGAGGGAGTGGCCACACAACGGGCAAGTATCATTCCTGATATAAAGTCGCTCCTAGAAGCCTGTGAACGCCCCAGGAGGCTTCTGCGCTTCTGGAAGGAGCTTGGCTGGCTCACCTAGTCAACCAATCCTCGACGCATAAAAGACCACTCTGAGTCTAAATGCGGAAACCGAAGCCCACAACCAATACCAATACCAATAGCTATAACGTACGAAGACACGATCGCTCTTTGGTTTGTTTCACATGGCATGACGTCATTCAAGACGACATGACAGTCTTATGCGTTTTGGAATCAAATTGAAATTGGTTTTTTAAAACGCGAAATTTACAATGTAAAATAAATAAACCTTTTTTTTTCGATAAAATGCCTAATAAGCTAAAATATTAAGCAGTTATTGAAATTTTGTCAACTAGCCTATTATTAGTTTAGTTTTTTGGGCTCGCGAAGGAATCCTGGCCACAAAATTTATATCTCGCTTATCAATAGGGTATGTTATCTTTGTTCCAATCTTTGGTCACGATGTTAATTAGGTTTTCATGATCCTTCATAGGAACACCCTTGATTTCAAAATTGTTGAGACGCGTCCACTGGTTTTTTTCATTAGGATCTTCTTCTAATTTATAGACTCGATCTTTCAGCTGCAGGATGTCATCTTGCGCTTTTTCAACTACAATTAGTCTTTGGTTCACAGATTCTAGCCGCTCAGAGTAAGACACCAAGGTTGACTTCATCTCAGATAGTTCAGTATTGATCTCTCTGATACCATTAAGGAGATCCAACATGGGGGCAAACGTTAATTTGATGCTGCTTAGCTCCTGCATGACCTGGTCATTTGAGATGGGCTTAGGTGATTTGCAGCTCGGGCACCTCCAATTTGCCTGTCGCTCAGCACCAAGTCGGCGATAACCGCTCTCAGTGATACCCGAACAGGTATAATCAAAATGTTTTTTACAGCCACTGCATAAGATATAACGAAAATATCAAAAGTTTGAGAACCGCTGATGTTAATCGAGACTGCACGCGTGTGACCAATAGCGAATCTACCCGAGAACTGAGTACTGATCTACCATGTAGGTTTTCGACACAAAACCTATAGGGTACTTCCGGTTGACCTAGAATTGTTAATTTTGGTTAAAAGCAAGGTCTTACACCACAAGTAAAGAGAGAATTCTGAAACATAAAAAAAGTTGAAAATTAAGGTAAATTTTGGTACTTACAAGTTTTCGTGAAAATAGAAATTCGCCCATATCTTTTTGTCGTGTTGACTTAGGACCTTGATTTTTATACACCTAATAAGGACCATAGAACTCAGTATCTGGTATTAATTTCAACTTGCATGGTCTACCCGTTCCTGAGAAAATCGGCGGTGACACACGGACAGACGGACAGACGGATAAGAAAGTGATCTTATAAGGGTTCCTTTTTTACCTTTTGAGGTACCGAACCCTAAAAAGTATGGGAAGACATCCTGATTTCGAGTGGAAGCGCATTCCAAAGAAGAACGGACTGAACAAAAAAAAAAGAGCCAACAAACTCAGACGTGTGGGACGGACAACGAAGAAGAAGGTTATCGGAGGACCGAAGGTCTCTGTCGTGATTACTACATAGGAGTTGGAAATTGGAAGCTAGATAAGTTGGCGAAGATGGGTTATTAAGAATAGTGAATAAGACAGTGAGAGCGCGTAATTTACGACGTAGATGAATGGGTAACCAGTTAAGCTGCGAACGGAAAGTTGACACATGATCGTATTTACGGAGGTTAACGATGTATCGAATGCAGTTATTAAGAAGACAGTCTAGCTTATCGAGAAGATCTACATTCAGGTCATAACAGCACACGTCACCATAGTCGATTATTGGGGAGATAAGTGTTTGCACAAGCATGGTTTTGGTTTTGGCGGGTAGAAAATTTTTCAGGCGATATAGCGCTCGAAGAGTACCAGTAGCCCTCCGGCACAGATTTGCAATTTCATCTTGCCAATTCAGTGTGGAATCGAGTAGCAAGCCTAAATCCTTAACAGATTGACAAACAGGTATTAAAGATAACAGATGAAAGCATCTCAATGTTTACTCTAATCATCAATCGGTGACTTCCAATTTTTATAGCTTGATATTTCGTGGGATTTACTGACAGGATAAACTGGTCAGATCATGCCTTAATTGTTTCCAGGTCTCTATTGACCATATCTATTTCTATTGAGATATCTTCATCCTTACTTTGTGAATAGAGCTGCAGGTCATCGGCATAAATATCATACGCACAACGAAGTCTCAGGATTAGAAGATTAATAAATACGTTTTTGATATATATTTATAGTCAGCCGATTGCATTGAAACCAGATATTCAGAAGATCTAAATCTTTTTTGTGCGTCTTTAATAACGGAGTTTATAGAATGGCCAAAGTAGAATAGAGCAGTATCATCGGCGTATAAAGTTATGTCTCCCTTTAGCCCGAGTTCTTTTATATTATTTACAAATATAAGAATTAAAATAGGCCCTAGAATTGAACCCTGAGGTATACCACAAGGCACAACTCTGGACCCACTCTGCACGCCACCGACCTTAACCACTTGCCGACGATTAGTTAGGTAAGATCTGAGTATCTTATTAGCGGTTCCTGTAATACGCTAGTTTCTTTAGTAACAGGTCATGACTAATTGTATCAAATGCCTTCTTTAAATCTATGAAGACTCCTAGTGCTATTTGTTTTTTATCAATGTTAGGTTTCAGCTGACAGTGTGTTAGATTTTGGTCTAAAGCCATACTGCTGTTTGCAAAAGAAATTATGTGCCGAGAGATGATACGTCTCAAGGCGCTTATATAACATTTTTTTATAGATTTTTGACATTACCGGAAGAACAGATCTTGGGCGGTATTTGCCAGGCTTCTTCCATGGCTGAAACTGTGTTAACGCGATTGATCCAGCAGTGTTTGCGCCTTCTGTATACGTTAAATTATTACGGAAATTTGCTATTATTTGACTATCCAAGATCAAGCCCACATTAGAGAAAAAATCATTAAAGTGTTCACAGATAGCATTTTGATCTGTTATGTAACCATGGGGTGTTAAAAGTTTACTTGGAAATTGTGAGTCTCTTACTTATCAGCTTCCACATCTTTTTAAGGTTACTGTTGCCGTCATTGAACACTTTTGAATAATATCGTCGTTGATACTGCAATACCGCGTAACTAACAGTGGATAATACCGCGGAAGTACAAAAGTATCAAATTTTAGATTTGGCGGCAATGAGCTAACGATGTCGATTGGCTACGGACCACATTCACAGTTCGGCGTATAGTTCATTCTATCTGCCACCAATCACAACTAGTTAAAACCGCGTTAAACCTATTTTACATGTAAAATTGGCACTAATTGTTGTGATGGTAGTTCCGCGGTTTTGAATTTTGATGTGTTATTTACGTGTTAGCTAGTTACGTGTATTTGTTGATTTTGTTTTGAAAAATTAATCGTATCGTTGTATTTTCTAAATACTTCACGTTCCAGTAGCGGTATGTAAATATATATAATTACGTAATAATTAAATAATTGTGGGCAGATTCAAGCGTTTCTCTTCTCTTTTGTTTTAGAATATCATGGAAGAAGATTCAGGTGTTGACGAAACTGTAGTATGGAGAAACGTCGACGTCAGTAGTAATATTGTCACATTACAAGAGCTTCAAAATCGACGCCAGGCACTTCTAAATGAAAGGAAGCACATTTTGGATCAATCCATCCACTTATATTTCTAAAACCTGTCGAACAAATTCCATGTGCAGTTACGAATATTGAAAGCTCTATTGCTGAAGCTGATACTTTGACAACAGTTTTAGAACCCGTTCCGAGCTCATCAGGTCTTCCGGAAGTTGTTACTGAGTCACTATTGGATTTTTCGTCAGATCACTTTGACGTTAACCCTGATTATGTTCCATTATCTCAAATCACAAATGTTCAACCGATCGAGTCATTAGATCACAATATTGAATGGTTTCCTGAGAGAGATACTGAGGCAGAAGTTGGGAGACAGTCAAGATCGAGAAAAAGAAAAGCTGACAGGTTAACATGGAAAAGAGAACATAGCAGGAAAAATAGAATGTTAGCGAAAGAATATCTTGGATACAAAAAGATTGATAATAAATACCATCAAACAGAATCTAAACCTTTAGAACCATGGGCTCTCTCTGCAATTCACAGTTTTGTGCTCGTAGCAAAGTATTGTTTTGCTCACATCTAACGCATGACATGAGTGTCTATTTTTAATAAATTTTGGGGTATGTCTTGGCCGCAAAAAAAAAATTTTGTGTCTTCTATGGTGGATAAAACTGAGACTCAGAGGAAAACCAAAGGTGCTGACTCTAGACGCTCAAGTTCCAAAGCGTATTATTCAGCTCAAGCTCTAATTCAGTCTAAATCACAGCTTTACAATTTATATGTGAAATTTGCATCCTCATCATCAAGACCTGTTGATTCAAGGAAGCTTTTTTGTGACGTTTTAGCAGAAGAACACATAGGTTTGTTCCAACCTAAAAAATACGCTTGTGACCTTTGCTGTGCTTATAAAGTGGGCAACGTCTTAGAAGAAGATTATCAGCGTCATATTGAACTCAAGAAACTCGCGAGGAAAAAAAAATGGATAAACAAGCTGCAAAAAATGGAATCATTCACACTGTGACTGCTGATTTACAAGCTGTAAAGCTATGTCCTTATTTGTGTGCTCTTTATTTTAAAACCAAGTTAGCAGTTCATAATTTCACTGTCTACAACCTTGGAACAGACGATGTCGCATGCTATTGGTTTGACGAAACCACTTGTGACTTAAAAGCCACCACCTACGCATCTTTTTTTGTGGATTACGTAACAAATCTGTTAAATGAAGATGCAAAAGATGTAGTAATATGGACTGATGGTTGCACATCCCAAAATAGAAACAGTATCGTTTCTAATGCTCTACTTAGACTAGCCATGGTTAAAATATTACAATAACACAAAAATACCTCGAAAGAGGACACACACAGATGGAGGTGGACTCTGTCCATTCTGTCATTGAGAGAAAGTTAAAAAACGTGGAAATATTTTTGCCATCGCAATACGCAACATTAACTAAACAAGCAAGAAAGAAACCCTCTCCATACAGAGTCATTCAACCGGATCATACTTTTTTCAAGGACTACGGGATTAAAGAATATCAAGTATATGACTCCATACGACCTGGTCGTACTGCTGGCGATGATTGTGTGGTGGACCTGCGAGTATTAAAATATAACCCTAATGGGACTATTCAGTATAAAAAACATTTCAAAGATGACTTAACCCCACTGCCACGAAGACCACGAAATATCTTAACACTTACAAATACTCCATCACTTCCATTGCTGTTTTCATCTAGAGTGCCAATATTAGAAAGCAAATATCTGCACTTACAGCAACTAAAAAACGTAATTCCTGGTGATTGTCATCAGTTTTATAATAACTTACCTTATAAGAAAAAATAACTATTCTTTAATGTATAATTCATAAAGGCCATAATCATACGTGTCTTGGATGAATAATTTTTGATCTTCCATTATTTAATTTATAGTTTGGATGACTATTTTCAGCCTTTAATTATTTCATTTGTTAGCTCTTTGCTTTGTTATGTTTGTAGTAATTAATAATTATAATTACGCTAATAGATAACTACCAAGTTTATATGATGACGTTTTAATTACGAGACTGTAAAAGCTAGTTACTACCAAAGTTTAAATCATAACACTGTGATAGCTTGAGTAAATATAATTTCTTTATAATAATATAATTCTGTTTTATTCTCCCTCCTATTCCGC